TTCAAGTGTAACAAACCATTGCCTGTAATTATGTGAAGGAGCCAGGGCACGGGGACCCAAGTTTGTATGTGCCCCCGTTTGGGGACACCATACCTCTTCCAAGATTTTTAAAAATTGGTAAATAAACCCTCATCTAGTTTTTTCCCATCAAGTCTAATACCGGTCGTATTTTTACTTGGATACAGGGGTATCCAGTGATGCTAGAAAGTCTGCATTGCGGGGAGGGAGGGCTATAAACCAAATCTATAAATAAAATATAAATAAATATAGTAAACCAGCAAACAGGAATTCCATGTTTCAGCAGACTGGAATGCCTTAGCTACCATCAGTTATGTTTTTTAAAAGTTTGCACCTGTAGGGCAACTGAGTCTTAATCGGAATCACTATTTATAAGATCATGTTAGGGTTCAGTCAGAATGTTGGGCTTTTCAAGATCACTACTGATGACAACTACAGAGGGAGAGTCTCCGATTCATACCAGATAAAAATCAGATCTACAGCTTGAAAGACAGGAAGCATCAGCAGGAAGCAGATTACGGTGTGATCCTTGGGTCCATCCTGTGGCATATAAATTTAAGGAATTCATTCAGCAATACTGGGCCTATTCTTGAGTCTTGTGTCCATAGCCTTCAGTAGGGAAGAAGGTGGTAGTGCCACTGTTTATATAGAGCCATCTGCGTGTATGGTGCTTTAGAGTTTCATAAGCACAGTAAGTTGGGTCCCTGGCCCCACAAGGGGTAACAGTCTAAATTACAAATTCCAGAAGGGAAGCAGTGCTTGTACTCTCTGTTGAGTGTAGGGTTGTCAAGTCTCTTACCTGGCATAGTGAGGGGTACCCGATCCCGGAGATTCGCATGCACGCACCGCAATAATGTTACCCAGAAGGGACGTCATCACACTGGGCATGTTGCTGGGCGATGCTCTAGCAATCACCCTAAAAACTCTATGATACCATAATGTTTTCAGGGCGATTGCTAGAGCGTCGCCCAGCGACGTGCCCAGTGTGATGATGTCACTTCTGGGTGACATCATCGCGCTGGGCACGTCGGCCTGCTCTGGCCACTTCAGGGGTGGGCTTCCCCCCGACGGCTGGATCCAGACTGGTGGATTGGGGGCCCTTTCAGTGGGCGAATCCCTGCCCCCCAGGGGGACTTGGCAGCCCTAGTTGAGTGCCAGTGAGAAAGGTGGACTATAGATGCTGCTGCTAATGATAATAATAATAATTTGTTAAAGCAAAACAACAAACTCTTGTTACACCTTGAAGACAAACTGACTTATAAAGGCATAGGCTTTTGTGGTCTAGAACCACTTTGCCAGATACATGGAGTGTGTCTTAATTGACAGATGTATACACACATTGAGGAAAACAAACACTGGGGTCAAAAGTGAAGCTTTGTTGTCTTTTGACTCCACTAACAAATTTTCTCCTCCTATATCTGCTGAAGGCCCACTTTAAGGCACCTAGTGGATATTAGTCCACCAACAGCTACACCATTATAAATTGGTTAAACCTTAAAAGTGCCGCTTCTGTTCTGATCTAAACGATGATAATATTGGGGGTGGAGGTGAGACAAAAATAGTGCGGGATGAACGTGAACAAAAGCCATTTCCCGCACTTGGTTATAGCTGGAGTGAGGATGTAAGGAGTTCAGATACTGGGCGAGCAGGGCTCCAGCTATGAAGGGCAGCGGGAAGGGAGTTTTTCGAGGCTGTACATCTCTTATTTATTTATTTTATTAAATTTTCTATCCTGCCCTCCCCTGCAAGTGGGCTCAGGGTGGCTGACAACAGAATAAAAACAAAGTAATTCCAGATACTCCCAACTTAAAAATCCCAACAACATAACACACAAGATGGCAAATAACCAGTTAACAGAAGCTCCTAGGGAACCTACCTGTATGCCCAGATGGATCGAAGCGTTGGGGAGTGGGTGCAGGACATCACTGATAACATGCCTAGACAGCGTGAAGCAGGGGAGACCAGTGTAAATGGACACCAGCTGCCTCCGTGAAAGGCCTGGAGGAACAGCTCTGTTTCACAAGCCCTGCAGGGCCCTGATCTCACTTGGCAGAGAGTTCCACCAGGCCCTGGCCGAGGCTACACGGATGTCTTTGGGGCCGGAGACCACTAGAAGATGCTGCTCAGAAGAGCGCAAGGCTCGCCGGGGGGACACAAGGGGAGTGACGGTCCTGCAGATATGACAGTCCCAGACCGCATAGGGCTTCAGTTGGCCCATGGCATCCAGGAATCTAGAAAACCATTGCTAAATAAAGTCAGCACGTTTTTATGGACTGGTCTGAACTATTATAATGGGGGAAGGTGCCTTGTTGGTTTATAATCTGAACACTCAGGCCGGACTCCTGAAAAGACAAAGCTGCTCCCGGAGATGTGGGGTTGTCAGATAGTATATTTTAAATGAGACTGTTTTAGCACGGGCAGCTGTACGCGGCAGCTTTTGTTTCCCAGACAAATCTGTGTAGCAGGAATAGGGTATCTAAGTCAAATTTCCAAATATACTTACCCAGACATAAAAGCTGGCTTGCACTTCACATAATTACACGTTTGGAGCAAAATCTGCTTGAATCCCTTCACTGTGCCTAAATAGGAGCCTTTTTTATTTTACATAATTGTGCTGAAGGTTAAGAAGTTCAAAAGCTTGGCAATCTACTGCAGAGCTTTGCCCAGATTGTTGAGTTTTGGATACTGTTGGCAGTGCCTCATGGTTAATTAAAACTTCTAGGTTGAAGAAGAAAAGAAAGAGGTCAACTTCCTCCTCCTCCTCCTGTGATTCTTCATCTGATGAAGTCACTTCCTCCTCCTCCTCTTCCGACACAAAAAGCACAAGAAAAGGGGTCGGAACCGGTCCGAATCCTCACGCAGCAGCTCTAAACACACACCTAGGAGCTCCTTAAATCAGAGTAGGAAAGACGATTGCTATTCTCCCCCAGCGAATACCTCGGCTTCCTTCCTTAATCAAAAGCACGAAATGGAGAAACTGCTGGAGAAGCAGGACAGGTTAGCTTATCAGAAGCCAGAAGCGAGAGACAGGAGCCGGTATCACTCTCTCTCAAGGACTTCTGCTGAGGATGAGGAAGCTTACGGAGGTAGGTCGGAAGATTCCAGGGATTCCTATAGCAGCTCCAAGACTCAGGCCAACAGTAGCAAAACCGAAAAACAGGGTAAGGTAGACAGAGTCCCCTTTGACAGGAGGGATAGCGCCGGTCCCTATCGCAGAAAGTCCGACGAGAAGAACAAGACGCACTATTCGGGAAAGGCAGACAAAGATGGGGGGAGGAAGGACCCGTATCGGAAGCACAGCCCAAGCCAAACCAAGTATTGCGCTTCTCCGGCAGGGTCCGATAACTCCACCAAGTCAGCCGAACACTACAAGCGATACACCAGCCGCTGGATAAACGAGTCCAGTCAGTACAGTGCCGACAGCAGACCCCAGTTAGGGTGGAGTCAGAGAGAGAGAGAACCTAAGAGCAGGGCAAGAGATTGTGCCAAAGCCAAGGAGGGAGACGAGGAAGCCGCCCTCAACGGCAGAGAGCAATCAGGAAGTGGCAGTAGGAAAAACCTGCCTCAGAATCTCCTCAACATATTTAACCAGATAGCGGAATTTGAGAGAGAGAAAGGAAGCAAGCAGAAAAACCAATGAATTTCTTTAAAAAAAAAAAAGAAGAAGAAAAAAAGTGAATGCCGTGTGCAAGTGATGGATCTTGTTCAACCCCTGTAATCACTGGAGCCCCTACCGGTTCATAGAAAAGTAGGATTTTTTTTTTGTTCTCCCCTCTCCAGTCTGTTTATGTAGAGAAGGATAAATATGCAAAGACTTCATCATATCTCTTCGAAAACTGAAATTTCTCGTGCTCTTGTAAGATCTAAGGTGTGCTGGTACGAAAGGCTTAAAAATTCTTAGCTGTTACAAAGCCTGCCAGCTGTGCCAGTTGGCATCTGATTTGCACTTTACAGAGGGAATTTTTCCAAGGGCACCAATGACTGTTATTTTGTAATGTTAATATAACCCCATAAACTTGAAATGTTTCTAATGAATGTGCCATCGGTGTATATAGCTTGTTTTACTAGTAAACTTTTCAAAACAGAACTGCTTCTCCCAGTTTTCTTCAATGTCTCTGATTAATTCATTGTTGTTGTTTTTTTAAAAAAAATATTAGTCTTCCAACTGCTCGCCAGGCTCTGTGCAGGTTTCTAATGCTTTTGGTGCAGTGAAAGACACTAGCTAATAGAACTAACAGGTCAGTGATGGATAGGAAGTCAAAATGGGTTGAAGGAGGGAGGGGGAAACAGGGTTTGTTGAGATGGTTAAGCTCACTGTCTGCCTTTGGATATCACGAACAATTAATCAGGAAGTTCTCGGGCTTGCATGCTCCTCCCCTCACGGTCTTTGCTGAGACTGAAGACTTCCTGATTTAGGACTGACTGCAATTTGTTGCGATGCACATATTTTAAAAGGGCAGGGTTTCTTCTTGGTGATGCATCAGTGTTCTAAACTGTGGTTTAATCCCGACTTAAAATCGTGGTTTGTAGATAAGGAATAAATTGCTGTTTTAGAGCTGTTATAAATTGTGGTTTTAACCCAGGAAGTCTTCAATCTTGGAGGAACATGCTAAAGAGAGACGGGAGACGGCTCAAGAGGCCAGGCTTTGGACACAGCCAACTGTGGAAATTCTGTTTTTATGCATTCCCTCTCCTCTTCAAATTTTGCTGCGTGAATGCATCCATTATTTATAAAATATCAGGGTAACAAATGACAGGGTCTTACAGATACTTAATTTGAACATATAAAGAGTCTTAAAAATTGCTTTATTATGCAGCTGCAATAACTTAGTTCCTCAGCTTTCTGAAGACTTTTATTAAACTTTTAGTTAGGTTGTTCAACATAACCTAACAGTAACTTTCACCTACTGAACATATGAAAATAAAATGTTAAAATATTCATACAGTTGAATAGAGACATTTCTAAGTAAAGTGTATGCTCTAACTCCTATTCTCTCAACATTATATAACTGGGCAGCCCTGAACACTACTTTGAGGTCCTGCTGCGAGAGGTGCCGGAGCTGCTGCTTCGGGTTGAAGGGCGTGAAGAAACCACAGCCGCAGAGGGTAAAGTCAAAGAGACAACTTTAAGGTGTTGCTGACTAGATGATGAGGTGGAGCTCTTTGGGGACCTAGAAAGAGGGGGGGGGGAAGCCATTCAAACAATAATCAGGAAGCTGAAAGTCAGACCAATCTCAGTATGCCACAAAACCCAGTTGTCTTAAAGTACATTGAGGAAAACTACCATTTAAACCAGGGGTCTCAAACATGCACCCTGGAGGGCTTCTATCAGGCCCGCAGTGGAAGTGGCTGTCTTCTGCTTCTTCCAGTTCTGCTGCTGCTGCATCATCATAGGTTTGCAGCTTACAGATGCACACCTGAACAGCATACTCAAGATTGCGACAGCACAGACATCTTGGTGCAATAATTCAGAGCAAGAGGTGTCGGTTATCAGACACTGTTAGATATTTTAAGCATGTTTTTATTTTAAGTTTAAAAAAACACCTTTGTGTTTGTGTCCTTTATAAAGTTTATATCTGCTACCTGGCATTACATTTCATGACACACATGGCCCGGCCCAACAAAGTCTCATTTATGTCAGATCCGGCCCTCATGACAAATCCCCTGGTTTAAATAGACAACCCAGTCCTAACTTCGGGTCCTGATTCCAGGCTCTTCAAAATATGACTTTTCCTGCAATCAGCCTCTGAAATATCATGCCAACCCCATGAACATACGGAACACATTTCTTAAAATCCTAGGGGGTATATGCTGATAAATTACAGTCAGTTTCTTCATGGGGGTGGGGTGGTGGCAGTACAGAGAAAGTGACTACCCAAAGGCAATGGGGGGAATGACAGGATATCCTTAGAAGCCCTGCTCTTTCCATCATGATGCAACACGGTCTCCCATGGCTGACTGGGTGCCATCGCTCTCCTACGAGAAGCACTAAGTTTGTTCTAATTTGTTCTCAAGTACTCATCTACAAAGCCATATAGTCCATATTCACATGACGGAACTCTAAAATTTGTTAAGGAAAGATGGCTCAGTTTAACCTCCCCCCACCCCAGTTAGATTCAGAAGGCTTCTTATAATCGGATGATCATGAAATCCTACTAGGGTGAATTTTGTGATCAAATTTCGACACTCCCCCTTTGGACTGCTCTTTGGTTTGAAACTTAACCTCCATTGGGGATTTGTACTCCCCACAGGTATGTGAGTCTGTGACCCTGACATTTGGGGATCCCGGGGAAAGGTTATGTTGCAATAGAGAAACAAACCAAACTAGAAATTCCTTCTAAATTAGCCCTTTCCAGAAAACACGAATTGAAGATTTTGTTATAATGGGTTAGATCCAATGCTCCCTCTAAACTATGGAGTCTTGTGAGCAAAAATTCTACTTTGTGAGCTACTGGCATTAAAGTTGCGAGCGAGCAATTTGGTTACTGCATAAATTACTTTGCTCTAGAGCCATCCTTCCTGAGCTAAAACAACAAATGTGTGAGCTGGAAGCTAAAAAACTCTGAGCTAGCTCACACTAACTCAGCTTAGAGGGAACACTGGTTAGATCCTGCTTGGATTTCAACAGGTGGGGGCAGGGGAGAGCAATTTTTGCTGATTCCTTCCTCCTGCAGCAGCCCAAACTGCCTGCTGAAATAGTACTCCTGATGGAAGGGAACCCCTCCCCCCCGAATACCACAACAGTGGAACTGAGCAATGGAACCTGCCCCCCCCCCTGGAAATCTAAGTGGCATCCTCAACTATTGTGTTTCTAGCTGAAAATCCAAGTGGCATGAATGGAAGTGCCCAGCTAGCTCTATAGCAGAGGTCCCCAATGTGGTGGCTGTGGGCGTGGTGCCCACCAAGTGGGGTTTTTTTGGGGGGGGGTGTACAGGGCCAAGTACGGCTTTGGCCCAGCAAGGCTTCTGATTGACTACTGGAGTTGTGATTGACTGTGCCATTTTCTAAAAATGTTGCTTTTGGCAAAAGCTGCCACCACAGCACAAGCATCAATACTGTGCTACTGAAGTTAAGCTGTGACAATAATTTTGCGGCTGGGTCCGCCTCCTGCAGCAGCCATTTTGTTGGTGCGCCATGTCAGGATTCCAGATGTGCCCACGGGATCAAAAAGGTTAGGGATCCCTGCTCTATAGTCCGAGGAAAGGGCCAAAACTAGATGGGGCCTCTTCCTCCAGTTAGAGTATCAAGTGTAGCTTTGTGACTCAGAAATGAAGCAGCCTGTTTACAGACTGCCCTCTGCCACAAACCGATGGGCTCTGTCTTTTAATTCCCTGCCAAACATGTGAGTCTCTGCAGGCATTCCTTTTGGCCACGTGGCTTGTCCAAAACAGTGAGGCATAACCTGGGCCTGTACTCCCTGGCTCAGAGCTGAGTGTGCTGTTCAGTAAGAAACATTTCGTTAAAAACCTTCCGCAGTGCAAGTACTTACATGCTCAAGGGCGATGAGCTGTGAGTGGACGAGTGAGCACTAAGATGGCAAGACACTGGAGGGAAGGATAAGTCAGCCTGAAAGTAAAAACAAAAACAAAAATAAAATAAGAATTGAGGCATACAGCAGGCCACCAGCAGAAGTGAACAAAACTACTGATTCTGTAGGATGTGGTTTTGGACAGTGCGTGCAGATCTTGGAAATAAATTCACTGGGTTGGATCTGAGGAACTGTGAAGAGAATCGTGTTTATGGGATGGATCTTTTCTCCCGCATCCCCACCAAGAGCTGGTGAGGGCAAGGGAAGCCTAAATAAGAGAGTGGAAAGTGGCCCTCCCTCCCTCCCCTGTGAACTGGTCTCAGCTTGTTTCCCCCTTCGCTGCCTCTCACTGTAATTCAGGGGTTCCCAACACGGTGCCCATGGGTGCTGTGGTGCTTGCAGGCCTCTTTCCTTGCTCCAAGTGTCTTCATATGGTGCGGGTCAGGTGGTCCTCTTCCCCAGCAGAGTTTTCTCACTGGCCACCCGGTAATCCAATTAAAATAATGTTGCTTTGGCAGCCGCTGCCGTCGCAGCATTGATTTTATTCTCTTGCTCCTCTTTCCCACTGTATATTTTTGTTACCCCCTCATCTCCCCTGCACTTGGACTTCCTCTGGTTGTGTACGTGGGTCTGCCTCCCATGGCAGCTGTTCTGTGGTTGCGCCCACCACCCTGTGTCAGAGTTCTGAAGATGCCCACGGGTTTTAAAAGGTTGGGGACAGCCTGCTCTAGTTCCTGAACAGCACAGGAGGCTGATGGGGAACGGGGAGGGGGATCCATTCGGTGCCCCGACTCCATTTGCAGTTTGCTAGACTCAAGCCAGTGTTGGTGAGAAATATCGAGTGGGCTAGAAGCGGTACCTGTTCAAAATACGTCTGGAAGACTGAGCTTAACTCTGGATTTGCGTTCGAAATATCAAGCAGCATTTTATCAATAGATTTGCCGAACTCTTTCAGCTCACGAAAATCGATATCTTGTTCTTCCATTGTTTCTGACTCCGTATTCTTTAGTGAGCGGAGGTCTCTGGATAATCGGGAAACCTTTATAGGCGTGAAATTGTTACACGGCTTTGCTTAATAAAAAGGAACAGATGTTGTGGTAGCACTGTAAATACATTCTTATATAGCACATACTTTACCAGAAGCTCACAGTGGTGACTAATTCTGAAAGGCTGTAGTTTCAGATAACACTGAACCTGTTCTGTATTAATTTCAACCAACCTGTTTCACGACTCGCTCTAGTTTAGGCTTCTGGGATTCTATTTCTTTGGTCAGTTGTGAAATGAGTTCATTTTTCTCCTTGATATTTTGTTTGCAGAGAGCTTCCTCTTTTAAAAGGTCATCCAGAGTATTTTGCATGGCCTGGGAAAATAAGTTCATATATAAGCTTGTTTGAAACCGCTTTTTAAATATGCTTATAAAATAAAGTGAACAAGAAAAAGCAAGTAGACATTTTTTTTGTTTTTTCTGTAGTCATTTTCATGTTGGTAGAATAACCACAACCTGATGCCCCTAAGAGGAATAAGAACAGAAATTATGTGTGTGTAAAGAGCCATCGAGTTGCAGTTGACATGGCTACCCCTGCAAGGGGCATTCAAGGCACATGAGAAGCAGAATGAAGAATAAGAAGAAGAGATTGGATTTATACCCCGCCCTTCACTACCCAAAGGTGTCTCAGAGTGGCTTACAAACTCCTTTCCCTTCCCCTCCCCACCACAGACACCCTGTGAGGTAGGTAGGGCTGAGAGAGCTCTTGACAGAAACTGCTCTTTTTCAAGAACAGCTCTTATCAGAACTACGGCTTGCCCAAGGTCCTCCAGCCAGGTGCAAGTGGAGGAGTGGGGAATCAAACCCGGTTATCCCAGATTAGAGTCCGCGCACTTAACCACTACACCAAACTGGTGTAGTCTTCCTTGATGGTCTCCCTTCCAAGTACTGACCCTGCTTAGCTTCCTAGATCGGACGAGACTGGGCTATAACCGTGCTGCTTTCCCTCCCCAAAACAGAGATTAGCCATCTATTTGATTGCTCAGTTTATAAGCCCTCTTAAAACAGTGCAGGATGTAAACACAAAGTATTAACGAGATCCATGGAGGCATTTCTTAGTACGTGGGGTGAGAGACAGCAATCAGGCCCCCGTCGGGTATACCCAGGGAATGTTGTTCTTGCTTGGGGCCTCCGGGTACACAATCAAGTGAAACATTTTGGGCCTACTCCTAACTCTGTGCTGTTCAGACTGTATATTAGAGGCATGGATTCTTAAACCCACAGTGTGACACCCAGCCTGCAGGACTAAGGGGATAGGTGTAAACTGATGCAATCTCTACTATCCCCTCTTCTGCTTTGCATACAGACCCCCTGTACGGGGTTGGGTTGCCCTCTAGGTGGGACCTGGAGATCTCCTGGAGTTACAACTGGCCTCCAGATGACAAAGATGATGAGTTTCCCTGGAGAAAACAGCTGCTTTGGAAGGTGGATTCTATGGCACTGTAACCGCATGACGTCCCTTCCCTCTCCAACCCCCACCCTCCTCAGGCTCCACCTCTAATATTATCTCCAGGAATTGTCCAACCTGGAATTGATAACCCCAGGACAGGGTGATACGATTGTGGTCTTGATCTGAAGAACAAATATTAGAACTACACAGCAGAAGTCAATGACAGGGTTGTGCAGTTATTGGGGGAGAATCAGGATGCTGTCTGGACACCCCCCTCCACTCCTCCCGTCCCCCAACAGATCACCTGTGAGTAAGACAAGAGCCCCCATCAGCCTAACAGCTGATCGGCACCGCGAGATTTCCATTTTTAAAATATACTTTCTGTTGTCACATATTCAGCTTCATTTAAAGTGTGCATTTGTTTTGCATGTCAAAAGGGGAACCTGTTCCTTTTCAAACTCAGGTTGTGCCAAAAAAGAAAAGCGCTACGAGTGGAGAACAATGACTCCACACTCATAAGAACCAAATCTAAATGCCTACAATGTTGGATGAGCGCTGGAAAAAACATTTGATATTTATTCTTTCCTCACGTCCACGGCTTTAGCAAATCCTGCTTAGTCTGAGCAGGAGAGCGTCTTCAAAGAGAGAGAAAGGGAGTGGGTGGAGATGACGACAGTGTTTCCCCCCCAAGTTTAAATCTGGAGATGGATTAGGCAAGCGCCGTCACACCCAGTTAAAACCAGAAGCCTCTTTACCTGGATATCTTCCTGGAGCTCCTTGATCTGCCTTCGCTTGTATCTGTATTTCTCATCTGCGGCTCTTTTCTCTTTTTCCAGTTGCAGCTTTTCTTCATACTCTTCGCCTAGAAAACACTTTGATTGAGGGCTCAATCTTGGACACGGTGGTATGCACCCCAGGTCAACAAAAGACTGTCTGGCTCTCTGTTCTCATGCGACATAATGGATGCATTTCAAAAACAAGTCCTTCAGAACCAGCATTTATATGTAGGTTCTTTTGGAAGAAGACTCCATACGGTGGAGGCGTGTGCCACTGGCTAGCTGAGTGGAATGGTGGCCAACAACCCACTGAGGGGTTCGGTACCTCTAACTAATCTGGGAGGTGATGCTAGGATGCAATGAACCGCCCACAGCCAGCACATGGGTAACACTGCCCATTTCTCAACCATGGTCAAGGGATGGTCAGCATTAAGTTTGCACCAGCCCAGGGCTGATTTCTCCCGGTAGAGAGGGCACATGCTTTCTCCAGAGCTCTGTGCAGACAGTATTTTAACACTGAGGCACAAATGAACAGAGATCTGAGGTCTTGTTTAATAGGATATTTTTCAATTGCCATGGGAGGGAAAGCGGCATGGTATAGCCCAATCTTGCCAGATCCCAGAAGCTAAGTAGGATTGGTACATGGATGGGAGACCATCAAGGAAGACTCTGCAGAGGAAGGCAGTGGCCAACCATCTCTGCTTCTCACTTGCCTTGAAAGCCCCTTGCTGGGGTTGCCATAAGTTGGTTATGACTTGATGTTACCTATGTAAGTGCATTTCCAAATGCTCTAGTATCTTCATCTAAGTCAAAAAGGATTAGGCGCTTTCCCCCCTCCTTACTGCAAAACGGCAGCACCATCCATTTTAAGACACTCTGTTGACAAAAAGTATCCTCCCAAAGATGGTCTTTGGCCCTCCTCTGGCCACCAGGATCCTGGGAGCCACATTTAGCCTACCCAATCTCTGCAACCGGTCTGCTAAGCATCATCTTCCCTGGCCACCTTCCCCATTGCAGGCATTAGGGATGGGCATGAACTGGGAAAATGCAGTTTGATTCATGGTGTCCCCAGTTCGCAAACGACAAACTGTCACAAACTTTTAGCCACCAAACAAACCAGTTCGGTTCATGATACAGTAGAATGCTCTCCTCCCCCCAGTGTGTTAGATACACCAAACTCATGGGATCTCTAGCTGACTCTCCTCTACCTACCCTCCAAGTTTGGTGAGGATTGGATTTACGGGGTCTGAGTTACAGTGCCCCAAAGAAGGTGCCCCCAACTTCCACTATTTCCAATTGAGGGGGGGAAAACAGCAAAAAAACCCCAAGGGCAATAGAAACCCAGCAGAATAGAATCAAAGTCCCAGAGAATCTCTGCAGCAGAACCTGAAAGGGGGGCATTTTTGCAAGCACAGCAGAACCCAGTGTCATTGTGGCAACGCCAGCTCAACAGGACTGATGTGAAGCACAGAATCAGTCTCCAAGCAAGGGGGGGGGGTGCAAGCCCAGCAGAACTAGTTCAGTGTACAGAATGCCTAGCAGAACCCGGTGCCATTGTAGCAATGCAAGTAAAAGAGAAGTAATGTCAAACTAGAGAATCCTTGCAGTACAAACTGAAGGGGAGGACACATTTTTTTTCAAGTCCAGAACAACCAGCTGAGTGTACAGAAGGCCCAGCAGAACCCAGTGCCACTGTGGAACTGCAAGCTTAAAAGGGCTGATGCCAAAGCACAGTGTCACAAGAAATCCGGGGGGGAGGGATTTTGCAAACCCAGCACAACCAGTTACAATGTACAGAATGCCCAGCAGAACCCAGTGCCACTGTCATTGTAAGCTTAAAAGCACTGCTTTCGAAGCACAAAGTCACAACAAATCCAAGCAAGGGGGAGGGGTTTTTTGCAAGCTCTGTCCAAGAAAATGGGAAGGTAACACAAAGGAATGCCAGCAAAGGGGGGAGGGGTACTTGAAATTGACAAGACTGTTTTCAAGGTTGGAGAATTCCATCTCCCCCGGTTGTTTTGGAGTTTAGTAAATACAAGTGGAGACCCGCAAGAAACTTGTGGAATGGTTATCCTATTCCTCACACCTTTGCTTCCTCCTGTCTCCCTCTACCTCTCTCACACTCTCTCCCTTCTGCCCCCTCTTTCTTTCCTTCAAAATTACTGATGGATCCAAGACAGTTTGCTTTCCCCCCTCCTTGCCAGAAAGAATTCTGGCTCTCAAGTGCTTGCAGAAGAGAAGGTAAAGATATTGTTTACCTTGACTTCCAGAAAGCTTTTGATAAAGTACCTTATCAAAGGCTCCTAAGTAAGCTCAAAAATCATGGGATAAAAGGACAAGTCCTTTTATGGATTCACAAACCTCCATGAACTGCTTGAAAGTTCATGGACAGTTCGTGCCAGTTGACCTGCCGTGAACATCAGTTCTTGAACCACGAACCAACCAAAATTCATCATGAACTTTAGTCTGTGGGCCAGTTCCCTTTTTCCATGGCTCCTAAAGCTTGTGTGTGCTGCACTGGAAGGCATCACAGAGGCTGGACCTTTTGCCCTGTCATCATACATGAACAGCAAGCCATAGCCACAGGGCAATGAGCCAACTTGAGAGGGGGAAAGAAAAGCAGACCAACAGATACTCAGTTATTTTGCTAAAGACACCATTCTGACTGTGCTTCTTTAATACAATTCATAATCTGTCTTTGAATTAAACATTTACATTTAAATTTGAGAGCACATAAAAACTCACTTTTCCAAAAAGCACATCTTTCTACCCCTTTTCCACCCTTCTTTCCATTTGTATCCTGCCTCTTATTCCAAAACCTCCTTCCTTATCTTTCCAACAATCCTTTGAGGAAGGCTGTATTCATGATGATGGTGATTTGCCCAAGGCCATTCAGGGAGCTTCACAGCAGAGCAGGGGTTTGAGCTCGTGCTTCCGTGGCCCAAATCCAATACTTTATTGACTGCACTACGCTACCTCTGATCTTCCTATGCTGATTCGCAAAAGATGACATAAAATTACTGATGGATCCAAGACAGTTTGCTTTCCCCTCTCCTTGCCAGAAAGAATTCTGGCTGTCAAGTGCTTGCAGAAGAGAAGGGAGAAGAATGCTGATTCTGTGAACTTAGGCTGATCATGAGAGGGAGGGCAGGAAAAGTCGCATCAGTGCTTAGTTCTTGTGGCCCTTTCTTACACGCCCAAGGAAATGCTGATTGCCACTTTGGGGTCAGGAAGCAATTTTCTCCAGTTTAGTTAGGGCTGGAGATGCTGGAGGGTTGGGATTTTTTTTGCTATTTTCTAGGCGTGGGGCAAGGGTCACTGGGGATGGGGGGGGGAGATATTTGTGAATTTCCTGCATTGTGCTGGAGGTTGGACTCGATGACCCTGGAGATTCCTTCCAACTCTATGATTCTAAGACAGGGGCTCCTATTGCTGGCCAGAGGAATAAGGGCTGCAGGAAGTTCTGCTGCTTTCATCCGAGTACAATCACCTTAACAAAATCAGCCTGGCCCAGCTGCATATCAGTTCTAGCTGTCAGACTGATCTCTGCCCCCTTCTTCCCATTCCTCTTCCTTTGCATGTCTTTTTCAGACTGTAACCCTTAGGACACAGCCCGTCTCCTTCTGCTATTGATAGGACCTGCTCTGGGAGACGACTGTCCGAAAAGTGGGGTATAGATTCAACAACAAACAACAACAAAAAATCCCCTGCCCTCTGTTGCCCCACATCTGTGCTGCCATTCCAAACTGCCCCACAACGGCCATTCCACTTACTGCTCTCTGTGACTTTCATTAATGAGTTTCGGTAGTTGCTGTTGCAGTTATTGAGCACGTGCAGGGTGTTCTTCAGGGCGGCGCATTCTTTTTCAGCTTGCTGGATCTTGGCATCCAACACGTCCCCTTTGCGTTGCAGATCCTCCTTTTCCTGAGCAGCCTTAAAATCAAATCAAAAGAGATTGCAGTGATCAAACCTCACCGTATTGTGGGCAGGCACAACAGTTAGGTTATCTGTTGATAAAGGAAATGTAAGAAAGAGGGAAGACATCTGCGGTTAGATAACATCGCTGCCTAAGCAATACATTACTGTTTTAAATAAAAACTTTATTCAGTAAAAGGAAAGTTGGCTACAACACCTTACGAGTTCACCTTTCATTCTATAAACAAATCATACAGACTTTATTAAGTTCGAGTCACCGCTAGGGATGTTCAAACCGAATGCACCCCCGAAAATGGCCCATTCGGACCCCTTTCGGGTTGCTGCAGGCCGATTCAGATTCTCTGATCTGAATCGACTTGCTGCTGAATTGCCGCTGAATTTCAGCAGCAATTCAGCACCATTATATCCTATGGGCCATTGAAGTCAATGGCGAAAACATAGGGTATATTCTGGGGGCTGGAGGGGAGGGTGTTTGAGGGAGAGGCTCCGAACTTGCAGGGTAGCTGCTGGAGCCTCTCCCCAAGATACCCGCCATGTTTCAGGAACATTGAACAAGGGGGTCCAATTCTATGGGCACCCAAACAGGTTGCCCCATCCCCTCCATTGTTCTCTATGGTGGGAAAAAGTAACTTTCCCCCTGGTCCAATGTTCTTCAAACTTGGTTGGTATCTTGGGGAGAGGCTCCAGCAGCTACCCTGCAAGTTTGGAGCCTCTCCCTCAAACCCCCTCCCCTCCAGCCCCCAGAATATACCCTATGTTTTTGCCATTGACTTCAATGGCCCATAGGATATAATGGGGCTGAAATTGACATTCAGCTGGCCAAAAGACTCCCCAATCGGCTGTACTGACGAAACTGACATGCGGGAGTCTTACTGCCAGACAAAATTGATTCTGCCCAATTCGACCAAATCCAAATGGGCCAAAAAATTTTTTGCACACCCCTTGTCACCGCCCTAGTCAGAATGTGCGTTCCCTCTAAACTGAGTGTGAGCTAACTCACAGTTTTTTAGCCTCCAGCTCACACATTTTTGTCTTAGCTCAGGAAGGATTGCTCCAGAGCAAACTGATTTCTGCAGTAGCAAAATCGCTCTCTCACAACTTTAATGCCAGCAGCTCACAAGGTAGAATTTTTGCTCACAGGACTCCACGGCTTTGAGGGAGTGTTGGTCAGAATGTTTGTGTGTTATGTGCCGTCAAGTCGCTTCCAACTTATCGCAGCCCTATGAATGAACAACTTCCACAATGTCCTCCTGCTAACAGCCTTGCCCAGGTCTTGCACACTCGAGGGCCGTGGTTTCCTTGATTGGATCAATCCATCTCATGTTAGGTCTTTTCCTGCTGCCTCCCCTTGATCAAAGTTCTCCAACTTTTTGCCAGGCAACATACAGGGTAGTTTACTCGACTGTACACATGCCTTTAGTTTCTCCAGCCACTCCTCTTTATTTGGAGTTGTACTCCTTTTCCAGTATCTAGCAAAAACTTAATCTTGTGGAGGTTATGGCATATAAAACAAATGCTTGAGTATCTTTGGGAAGAAAGTCTACATAATCCAACAGGAAACATTTAGGGGAGGAAGGTAACTTTATATAGTCCTTGAGAAATAACTAAGGTTGCCACCTCTGAGTTGTCACATTCCTGGAGATCTGGGGACGGACCTCGGCAGGGTACAATGCCATAGAGCTCACCCTCCAAAGCGTCTACTTTCCCCAGGGTTACTGCAGCCTGGAGACCAGCTGTAAAAGCAGGGTATCTCCAGGTCACACCTGGAGGTTGGCAACCCCAGAAATAGCTCTAGACCTCATTTGCTAATGTTCTTCTGCTCTACTGCATCTCCTTCCATATGTATGACGTCTGCATCCTAAGCAATACTTCAAAAGATGGCTGCAGTTCAGTCCAGCGTCACTATCTGATCATGGGGTCACGGGGGACGCCTACGAGGCTTCTGCGAGGCCACGGGGCTAATAGTCTGAGCCGCGGGGGTACCTGCATGCCTCAGCAATCAGATGTTTCTGTCAATCACCTGTACACATTCTTAAGCTTGAAAAGGATCGCGCACAGCAACAAGGCTTTCCTCGCGGTTACTGATTACAGCCCTTCATAAAACTTGTTCGCAGCTTGAAAAGCAGGCAATTTTGGAAAGTTTGCGCGACTCCCCAGGAGGCCGCCGAACCAAAGGTGGGAAGGACGGCAATTACTCAACCTGTGCTTCAGCGAGAGATTAATTTTGTGTTCCAAGCCTATTCAACGTGAACGAATAAATGGGGGAAAAAATAAAACAGGAGCAAAGTGCCACGTGCTTTCTGAAACACTTGTACAGAATGACGGACAGAGGGATCTGGACCCAGAGCCCAATCAGCAGTGCCCAGTACGGTCTAAACAAGAGAGGTGATAAAAGTCGGAGCAAGAACCTGAATGGGATAATAGGGGTTGACAAGAGTGGGTGAGGATAGCCAGTTCGGCAGGATGAATCAGGAAGGTCTAACAGCCTCCAGAGCAATTTTACTCCTCTCCTATCTAATTTAAGTCATAATATACACCCCGCAGTTTCACACATAAGGGGCAAAGGCTGTTTTCCCTTCCACACTGTGATGTTAGCTCTCCCTCTCCTTCACATTTTGTACGTCATGCCTCCGTGCATGCCACTCTTTGGAAATGAAGTGACGACTCCTGGGTAGTGCTGAAATAATTACACATCCCGACCACTTCTAAAGGGCACCATTAGATGGCAAAATACCCTCCTGCAGCCTTGGGGGTGTGGAAAGTGCTGCCAAGTCATAGCTGACTTATGGAGACCCCCGTAGGGGTTTCAAGGCAAGGGACGGTGGTTTGCCCATTGCCTGCCTCCATGCAGCAACCCTGGTAGTCCTTGGTGGTCTCCAGTGTTCGCTCTAAGCTGAGTTAGTGTCAGCTAACCCACAGTTTTTTAGCCTCTGGCTCACACATTTTTGTCTTCGCTCAGGAAGGAGGGCTCCAGAGCAAACTAATTTATGCAGCAGCCCAATCACTGGCTCACAACGTTGATGCCAGGAGCTCATAAAGTAGAATTCTTGCTCACAGGACTCCACAGCTCAGAGGGAGCACTGGTGGTCTCCCATCCAAATACCAGCCAGGGCCAACCCTGCTTAGCTTGTGAGATCTGGAGAGGTCAGGCTGGCCTGGGCCATCCAGGCATAGAGGGTGCAGACTCTCCCCTCCCTGGGAGCCCCTCGCTTCGGATCCCACGAAGTCCCTGGTGGGGTGGTCTGCTGAGGCAGAGGGGCCCACTTTTGGTGGGTTAAGAAGCATGGAGCAGTGGGGGCTTCCGGTCTGGTCTCTGTGAATTGCGGTCACAACTCTGGGAAGCTCCCGGAGGTGATTCGCCCACGCGCAGCTAAGGGGGGGGGATCCGCGCCAGCGGAGACCCTAAGGAGCCTCAGGAAGGGGTTCCGATCCGGGGCGCTCAGGGGATGTGCCTCTTTCCCGGCCCCGAAGGTCGGAAATCGAGGCTCGCCCCATGCCCCAATGGCCCTTGCTGCGGCAGTGTCCTTTACGGGGACTAGCAGAGCCGCCGGACGTCACTGAGTGATGAAGCGAGGAAGTGAAAGCATAAAGAAACAGACAAGCGGCTAACTGTGAGTTGGAGATCGAATTACAAGCTACCGGTGAAAGCACATTCCATCCCCCGGGAAAGCCAGAGGGAGAAGGGAGGATTCCCCCCCCCACTCGAGAAAGAGACTTTTTTGAAAGCAGAAAGGGGGGGGGGCGAAGGGAATTTTGGAAAAAGTAAATTACCTTTTGGGAGAGGGCTGAAAACGGAGTAGGGAGTGATCCCTCTGCTGCGCAACACGAACTTTTAAAAAGTAAACAAAAACTGAAAATGGCGGGGCCGAAAAAGTTCTTGGAGAGGCAGACAAAGAAGACGGGAGGAACTTCCGGTCTTAGCCCTGCCCCTGCAGGGGCTGCTGTCAATCAGCAAGAAGGGGAGATGCTCCGCCCTCTGCTAGATGAACTGCAGAAAATTAACCAAAAACTGGACAGCATGGAAAGTGCCTATAGTATTCAACAGAAGCAGATGACAGAGACAGGCAAGAAGGTGGATGAAATTGCAAAGAAGTGTCTGGTATCAACGGAAGAAATACAGAAAGTCAAGAAGAAGGTCAGTAAAGTTGAAAAACACCAAGAGAAGCAGGATAATAAACTATTATTGCTTCAAATGGAAAAATCAAACCTGACTCTTCGATTTCAAGGGTTGAAAGAATCTGAAAAGGAAGACCTCAGAGACATCCTGGTGAATGCGTTGGCACCATTGACTGGCAGCGAAGCGGGAAAAATAAAAGATGAGATGGATTTGGCCTATAGAGCCTACTCCAACTTTACAAAGAAGAATAACCTGCCAGCAGAAGTGGTTGTGAAATTTACCAAGCAGCGTCTCAGAGATCAAATCTTAAAAGCAGCGTCATCAACAC